ATTCAGACAGGTGTGTTGCATTTAGGGTGTTTTGTTATTTTTCTTCCAGCTTTTTATTGCATTGTTGGAATCTGTTGCAATAAAATCAATTTTAACCTTTCTTTATAGAAGAGTATAAAGTCAGCCATTCTGCGTAGGAAGAAAATAGATGCTATCAGAAGAGAAGCTGCTTGTAAATGTTAGAAAACTTTGTTTTAAAACTTTGACTCTTAAATCCTACCTACTATGGAAATAGGACTCTTAAATCCTACTTTTCTCTGTATGGCTGGCTAGTGCAGTAGTTTGTTTTTGTATACCCTATATTGCAGTAACTTTGTCCTGCAGGCTGCTGCTTCAGATTGGGCTGGTTGTCTCTCGGAGCCCATTTGCCTCACATCAGTGCTGCATCTGTCAGTAACCTTTCGTCTTCAGAGTATAAGGTTGGAAAGCAGTGCTGCTCTTTAGGCAGTCTGGGAAATGCTTCTTCCCAGGCAATCAAGGTGCATGTCATGGTAATTGAACTTCTCAAATAGCTAGACCTTCTGCTCCTGTTGCATTTAAAATTTGCAATTTGTAATTATTTATAATTGATCTTTGATGTGTCCTAAATTTTTAATTACAGATTCAGTAATCAGAAATATTTTGTGTACCCTGGACTTACAAGTGTAACCTTTTTACTCCTAATTTTAAAACAGCAAATGCGGCAAAAAAGTAAGCAGCAAGCTAAAATAGAAGCCACGCAGAAGCTCGAACAAGTTAAAAATGAGCAGCAGCAACAGCAGCAGCAACAGCAGCAGCAGCAGTTTGGTTCACAACAGCTTCTGAACCAGTCTGGCTCAGACACACCTAGCAGTGGGATCCAGAGCCCCTTGACGCCACAGACTGGCAACGGAAATATGTCTCCTGCACAACAAACATTCCATAAGGATCTATTTACAAAGCAGCAGCTACCTGCTACACCTACATCAGCATCCTCAGATGATGTGTTCCTAAAACCACAAGCCCCACCCCCTACTCCGACCCGAATCCCAGTACATGATTCACTGTCTCAGTCTCAGACTCCTCAGACATCATCACAACAGATGTTTTCTCCAGGTTCCACAAACACAAGACCTCCTTCTCCAATGGATCCATATGCTAAAATGGTGGGAACACCTAGACCAGCACCCATTAACCAAAACTTTGTTAGAAGAAGTTCCGTTGCACCATTAGATACCTGTGCAGCACAGTCATCCATATCGAGGCCCATTCAGGTAACGGAACCGTCAGGAAGCAGGCCGTCACCAGTCAGGGATTCGTGTTCTTCATCTCCAGGTAGCAGTGATCCCTATGCAAAGCCACCAGACACACCCAGGCCTGTCATGGCGTCAGAGCAGTTCTCCAAACCATTGGGGGTCCCAAGATCACCCATAGTTATGGAACAGTCAGGGAAGGTTCCTTTAACGGCTGGAAGCAGTGATCCGTTTACTAAGCCAGCTCCTAGAACTGATACATTTCAGAGACAGAGAGTAACTTCTGCTGATGCGTACGCACGGCCACCATTGACCCCTACTCCTACTCCCGTTGATGGTAGCCCTGGACCTTTTAAAACTCCTATGCGCCCACCTCAGTCCCCGCAAGATCCTTATGCATCAATGCCAACCACACCGAGGCGTGTTACTGTTGATCCATATGAAAGGCCTGCTTTGACACCGAGGCCAGTGGATAACTTTTCCCATAATCAGCCTAACGATCCATACAGCCAGCCTCCCCTTACTCCCCATCCTGCAATAAAGGAGACTTTTCCCCATCCGCCCCGGATAGTGCGACAACAGAGTGATTCTTTCCCTCAATCTGGACCCATTTCAAGGCCAGCTTCTCAGGACCCTTACTCCCAGCCTCCAGGTACTCCGCGGCCAGTTGCTGATCCTTACGCCCAACCTCCAGGGACTCCTCGGCCCACCACAGTTGATCCGTATTTGCAGCAACCACCAACACCAAGACCTGCTCAGCCAGCGGATTTATTTGCTCAGTCCCCAGCAAATCAGAGACATTCTGATCCATACGCCCAACCTCCTGGAACACCAAGGCCAGTTCTCAGTGATCCTTATTCTCAGCAACCAGCAACTCCAAGGCCAGGGATTCCAGAGAGTTTTAACAGACCTGCAATGACAAGGCCAGGACTAATACCAAATAGAGATCCTTTCCTGCAGACACCACAGAACAGGTTGCAGGGCACTTTTGCCAGGCCATCGGATCCATGTTCTCAGACTCCCAGACCTCCAGGACCTGCAATAACAGATTCATTTAGCCATGGTCCAGCTGCTCCAGCACGTGACCCATATGATCAACCACCGATGACTCCAAGACCTCAGCCAGAATCATTTGGAACTGGTCAGCTGGCCCACGATGCTGCTGAACAACCACGGCCTGGATCTGAGGGCAACTTCAGTGCATCTGGAAATTCTCCAATGAGTTCTCAAGGACAGCAGTTTCCCAAAGTTTCACAAGTTCCTGGCCCAGCACCCACTACAGGAGTAACAGATACACAGAACACCATGAATATGTCTCAAGCAGATACTGAGAAGTTAAGACAGGTGAGAATAATGTTTAATACTGAGGGGATTAAAATGTCATAAGTAGAAGAATTTCCCCTATTCTTGTTAGTATTTGAAGTTTCTTGCCATTATACATAGCTGTATAATGGAGAATTACCTTCATTCGCTTAGTATGCTAATTTGTTCCTCTTGGATAGAACCACAATATATAGAATATAGAAACGTCGGTAATTTTTAAGGATTTTGGACAAGATCCAGAAAGGAAGCAAAGGCCGTCTTTGAAGCCACTGAAGATATAGGTGATTGGGCTGTAATAGCTCTTTTATCTACAGTGTGAGGAAAAAAAACACCTTGAAAGGACAATTAATTCTGTGCTATAATAGGTGAGATGTAGAACTGATTGTCAGTGACTTGTTCGCTGACTGAAAAAGTGAGTGTAGGCAAAGATCTCAGACTAGACATCTAACTTTTCAGTTGACTGACCTGTAGAGGTGAATTGTACCATTGGTCACTGCTCTTCTTCAGGCACATTCACTCCAGGTTTTTGTCAATGAATGTTTGGCAAACAGCTGTTGCTGAGACACAGAATTAGATTCAGCTTGTGGAAAGCTGTTCAGTCTTTGGTTTGGAAGGAGCGATGGGAAGGGGATTTAACAGAAAGATTGGTAGTATTTATCATATGGAGTCGGTAAATTCTGCAGCTTTGGTGTAAACTTCTTGCTGAATTTTCTTCAGTGGACCTATAGTCACCTTTCTTCCTCAGAATGCATTTTTTCATGTGGTAAAAGGGCCTGCATTATTGGAATAGAAAAGGAAAAGAGAGTTGCTTATATGTTAATTGGTGAAATGGGCTCACACTATACACTTCAAGAGATCTGGAGCTTAAGTTGCATTATCAGCATCTTGCACCGTTTGATCCCTCTTCTAATTTCTGAGGTGATTATGGTGGTTTTGTCATATTTTTCTGGAGCGATTGAGGAATTTGTTTCCTCCAGAAGGGTTAACCTAGCGGAGTGTAACACTTCCAAATATGTCAATTGTGGTGTCAAGCATAATGATTTTTTTTTTTTTTTTAAACAGCGCCAGAAATTACGTGAAATTATTCTACAGCAACAGCAGCAGAAGAAGAATGCAGTTCGTCAGGAGAAAGCCTTGCAGGATGCAGCAGCTCCTACCCATGCAACTCCTCTTCAGCATTGGCAGCAAGACAACTTAAATCAAATTTTTAACCGCCCTCCTCCTCCATATCCTGGGAATGTTAGGTCCTCTGTCGTGCCTCCAGGGGGGCCGAGGTTCACTGTATACCCAAAAGACCAACGTGGACCATTTCCTG